GTCCACGTAAACAGTACCACTGAACTGTCATCAGATTGAGGTTAGCCCCGACGGTGCAAAACCTAATAAATGTTTTGTTTTGAAGGTTTTGAAAGAACTCCGCATCAAGCAATGGAATCCGAACCAAGGTGACGATCCAGAGGCACCCCAGCTGGATAAGCTGATACCGGACTGGCTCGACCGGAGGATCCCACCGAGAGTCCGACCGCTGCAGCTGCAGCTGTGACAAGCTGCTGCTTTGAAATCACCGGAACTTTTCCGGGGTTTGAAATAGGCTGCGAAGATCGACGGTGGCTACCTGCAGAGAATCGCAACAGCATGAGTGCACGGTTTAAGGTGGCCAAGGACATGTACCAACTGGATGTGAAGAAACGGAATGAAGCGGCTATATTGCTCAGCGGATTTGAAGACGTTTACACCAAAGATGAATACTAAGATGAAACTGTCGGAAGAAAAACTTTCTATTTTAGTGTCTTCTTTCACGGTCCCTTTCATCCAATGAGAACCCCCCGTATTCAAGGTAATTTTGTGGTTTTGCTGCCCCCTCGGAAGAGATGAAATTTTGCGCTCATTTTCATCAAAACAATCACACCAAAATCAGAGGTGTCCCGTTTTTTAATTACTCGATTAACAACTAATCGATTATTTTTTGTTCACTGTGCTGCCATTTTTCCACCAATGAGAGTGCAGCACATGTTTGAAACGATCGGTGATGATCCTGTGGAGATGTTAATGCTTATATCGGCATGATCTAATCGATTAAACGATTATTCGAATGAAAATCGGACATCACTAGAGGAATGTGAAACGTCATTTCAAATATAAGGCCGTTCATTAATAATGATACAATTTGAAAGGGACCGGGGCTAATCACAAATTACGTCTCCATGGTAACTGAAATAATCACGAGCGTTCACCGGTTGGTTACACTGTTGCACTCCAGAATACCACGTAAGCGTTCCGCTACTGAAGGCTGGATTCTTCAGTGGTATCACTAAGAAACAGGTGGATGCATTCAAAAAGTGGTTTGAAAAATATAATTCCTGCTGGCGATTGTTTTCGCCGATGTTGCCTTTTACCACCACCTAGTCTAGGGTTCAGAATCCCGCAGCCACATTAAAATAAAGGCTAATAAAACAAGCCTTTCCAATTTTGAAGACCGAAAAACTACAGGGTACCTAAGTAGGGAATAAGGGCTCTTTCTCCTCGGTTTCTCTTCCTTCCTCCAGCGAAAGCTGCTGTGAAATGAACGCAATTTTGGCAATTATTGTTTCATACCACAACCGGTGCTTCTAGGAAAGAGGTGATTGCCCTAGCCCACGGATTGAATTATTCGTTCGGACCTCGATTCAGACAGGCATTAGGATGTGTGCTGTTAAGACATTTTCTGGAGAAATCACCTTGATTTTGGGAAATCCACATCCAGTAGTACACTATTCCACAGGAAGTAGGCGAAAAATTCTGGAGCCCTTTTTGATTAAGTCGTATGTAACATTTTTGTCAATTAGAGAAGCGAGGTGTTTTGTTTTGGTTAAGAAAAAATTGTTACTATTTTCAATGAAATAAAAAACTCTCAGGAGTCCTTCTATTGGCTGAGTTAGGTTTTGATAGCGCTGCTGCTAAAAAATAAACGTTTTTTAACCAATCAATATTATACGACCTTTTGCATGCCGTGGTGTTTAATTCGTCCGGGCGCATTTTAGGGGTTTAAAAACTTTTTTTAATTAGTAATATCTTACGGAAAGTGTAGTTATCGTTTTATGGACCACCCATAACTGTTTTGCATTGAAGATTTGCAAAATTTTCACTTTTATTAGGAAAAATAACAGGTCGTATGAACAGATTTTAAGCTTCTGTCTAATTTGTTACATATTACAATTGACACTTCCATAGAAGAAAGGTGTCGTATGTAACATTGTGCTATGTTTTGATCGGTTGGCATATATGACAACAAGTTTTTTGATGAGCAAATGAAACAGAAATGAGGTTGTGAATCCAAATTTTGCCTCTAGGAAGAGTAAGCAAAGTAGTGTCTGGTAGTATTAAGGTCCTTATTCTCGTAACTTCGAAACTTCAAGTGTATACATATCAGCTTCTACGATACGTACCACAATAAAACTGTTACTCCACGGTTGCTGCACTGCAGCATACATGAAGTAGTAATTTCAGGTGAAAAGGGGCATTAATTTCCTAGATGTGTGTAGCTGAAAATTCGAAGTGGAAGTGGCCATTTGTGGACCCTACAAGGAATCACCTTAAAATGTAATTTTGTTTAGGTTTGTAACATACGATCCAATGAAAAAGGATTCTCGATTTGAGGTTTTGTGTCAACATGCAAAAGTTTCTTTTACAAACAACAATCCTTGGTAACATCTCAGATCATGACCATTTTCAACCATGGGTGCCAAACAGTGCCAATGAGTGTGCCATGGTGTGCCCTACTCTATGGTAAACTGTGTGGACTGACCAACCCCTTGTTATACACAGAATTTCAGTTTTGAACGTAAAAAAAATTAAATTTATGAAACGTCTTGGTCACTTTAAATGCAGACTCAAGATTTCAGACGCAAAGCGTTACAATTCTTATGTAAAAAATGCTATAAAACCGGTTGGAGCATGTATCAGGTAGAGTAGGTCACGGGAAGTAGCCTATTTTGCCCCATTCATCCCTAAATTCATTATTTTATGAGGAATCGACTGCTCTGATGGAATTTATTTCACGCACCGATGAAAATTTGACAGAGTGGGGCAATTTTTACTAAAAATGAACCCTAAATGTTCATCTATAATAAATAATATCCCAAGTTGACCAATACACGGAACGAACTCACGAAAAAAAAATGACGTTTGAGCGGTGCCATGTTTACCAAAACTGAACACATGTCGTAATGCTCGCTTGACTTTAGAAAAGGGCCTATCAACTTTTATAAACAGCTTGTTAGGCCCTTTTCACACGAACCGAAAAAAACCCACGCAAACCAAGAGCACTTTCGGAAAGGGATGAATTTACCCTACCCGCTGGTGTTGTTGGTTTGCGTGGGCGTACTTCGGTTCGCACGAAAAGGGCTTATCAAGTTGATAGGCTCTTTTCTAAAGTTGCGCGAGCATTACTGTTCATTTCTAGTGAACACGGCACCGCTCAAACGTCAAATTTTATCGGGAGTTCATTCCGTGCATAGGATGCTGCACGCTGACGTCACGAATGAACGCGATGAACCCGCATTCATCAATTTGATTTCCAGTGGTGGTTTGTTTACCTTTGCTTGTTATAGTCGATTCAAGTGGATTGGAGGTTTTAAATAAAAAGAATTAAATAATATGATATCCGACTATGTTCGTTTGAAAAATATTCCTCTCCAAAAAATCTAAAAAAAAAACATTTAATGTTTTTTTTTTCTTAGTCCATGTAAACAAACCACGCACATTTTTGCCTGTGGACTTGGAGACATACTTCAAGTCCCCGCGTACATCGTACGGTTTAGGCAAAAATGTGCGGCTATCTTGAAAAACTGTCGCATTAATGGCCCTTCGCTCATTTTCAACTTCTATTCAATTTTCATACTGCCGTACTCTAACGGAACTATCCACCTACCCTCTTCTAAAGATCATTCTTTAGCTAATAAATCATCACACTAAAGCTTCATGTTAGCATTTCCAACCAACTCTGAAGATGTATAACATGTTGACTGAAACCGTTTGGCAGCCGAGATATTCAATTTAGTCGCGGTTTTGTCAATTTTTGCCCAGTATGCACTGCCAGATATAAAAAAAAAGTGAGGTTAACCCGACGGTGCAGCTCCCTATTGGTCAGTAGCACAATGTTCACCAATAATGAATAATGAACGTTTAATGTTCATGATTAGTAAACATTGCCCGCAGCTTGTGTCACTTTTCATCGAGTGAATGAACTCATATCTATCCGTGCACTCGTCTTTTCTGTCCCAAAAAGTTGGAGCAACTTGTTTATGACTGAAATAAGTCGTATAGTAGTTTCCACGACCAATTTGTAGCAAGGGTGCTACTAGGGATGTCATTTTCGTTTATTTTTAGTGCGAGCCTAGTTTCAGGATCCGCCCTGGATTCAACTCAAACTCGACAAGGAGCTCTGCCGATTTTTTTAGATCCAACCTGTGTTCACCAATACACACAACCACAGCTTTCAAAACCAAATGTTTGCATTGTTCGCTAATGAAATTAAAAGGTTTGCAAATCGAAGAAGAGCGGAAAAATTGAGGAAAGTGTAGACATTTATATAAACTGCGGAAACATTTGTCATGGATTATGGTTTTGCCGATTTTCACTCTAACTTTGAGCTGAAAATTCGAACGAATGCACTAAAGGCCCAAGCGCTATGTTGGTGGAAGCGGAACGGAAACGGCAAGTTTGACAGTTGTCACAAATGACATCAAGATGCCTAATCGAAGTCAATTGGGCTCTAACTAGTTTTGAATCCGACAAGTAGGCTACTCAGATCGAGTTAAACACCATCATACTGATTCGTCCGTTTAATTAGAGTCAGGGTAGACTCTGATAGTAGATCTACGCCCTACTTGCTCGTATTATCTTTCGAAAAAAAAACAATACATTTAAAGCTCTGCAATAACGGGAACAAATCAATATGTAGTATTCTTAAAAAAAATAAACAATCATGGAATTTGACCACATTCGGGCGAATTTAGGATTTTTAGAGTTGGAACTAAGTGTTGCATACAAAATTTGGCGCTAAATTCTAACTAAGTTCACCTCAATTCCAGAAGGAAATTAACTTGTCTATCTTTGCTTAAGATTTCATTAATATGTCATTCCAAACCATATTTTTCGTAGAATTTGAATTTGAAAAAAAAACTATCATCAATATAAACCAATAGTTTTCATTAGGTAATCACGTAAAACGGTAGATTTCTAATTTATACGAAAATTTACTGATCACACAGTTCCAGGAATAAGGAAATTAATTATTTTAAGCTTTAATTAATTAAATGAATTAATTAATCGCGCAAATAATTTTTATACATAAAATTAGTATGAAGCTACCACTTGTACCATTTTTTTTTTCAAAACAATATCTAATTTCGTTAAAATCAATAATTTTATTGATTTCTGCATACAAAATAAAAAGCCGTAAACTTTTTCTACCTGCGACATCTGTTGTAAAAATCAACAATGCTGTTAATCTACTATAGCACTATCTTTTCAACATAGCATCCAAGTAGCTACAGTATGCGACAAAAAAAACATGCAAAAATCTATGAACATTTCTACTTTGTTTTTTTTTGCCGTATACCGAACATGCAATTCTCACTAACCATGCACTGTCAACCAATGTTCTTCTAAAATGAGTGTTTACCTTTTTGTGAGTACGCGATTGCAAGAGAGGGGTGATTGATCGGAACTAACCTAAACCTGCTTATTTTTTTTTCCCTATAAATGGTAAACATTCTATCGGTATAACTGTTTCGGTAACTTTTTCCCACTGTAGCGCGTCGGTTTTCTAACACTACATGTCTTACACGGTAGCAAATAGTGGTATCGAAAAAGTGTGTAGTTTTAGGTGTGTGTGTGTGTGTGTGTGTGTGTCGGTGTATGTCTCCTTCCCTAAATACATAGTTTTTAGTTAGAGATTATAATGCGAATGCAGAATGGTTTGTGTATGTGTGTGTAGTGTGTCAGTTTTAAGTTGGATTAAATAAACTTACTTCACTCACGGTACCTGATGTTCTACATGAACATTAATTATTAACTTTTTTTTTGATTAAAGATTATGCGTTTTTCTTTTTGTTTCAATGGATTCTTTAAGTTTGCTTTCGAACAATAAGAGATTTCCTCAAATGTGTGGGTGTGTATGTGTGTTTCATCCTATCATTTGTCATCTATCAAAGTTTCTCTATGTAGTTGATTCACTTGAATGCGGGGTAGTCATTTTTGTTGTTTTTTAAATATCTTAGATTAGAATAAAATGGATGTATTTTAGTAAACTTGCTTCTTCTTCTACCTCTTTTAGTTCTTAGAAATATTGATGAACTTTTTTGTTTGTATTCTTTTAATGTATGCGTTTTGTCCTAGTGATGTTTTTTTTTCTGTTTTGCATCTTTTAATCTCTCACAAGTCTTCAAAGTCATAAGATGGACGCTCGTCTTCTAGTAAATAAATCATTGTTGTTTCTGTTTGTTTAATATACTGCATTTTTTCTGATAATTCTTAGTCTGCGCGCAACCCAAATCGTTGGATCTAAGCTTGATGTTCGAAATTCATCAATATTTCGCTCGAATTGCTCTTATTATGTGAAGAGATAAACAGTATCATTTCGTTTGACAATGATATTCTCTACTTTTTCCTACGATAATATACTTTTTCAAGAACAACAAAACCAACAATCAAATAGAAAATTAAAAAGAGTTCTATCATTAGTGAAATAACTTTTCTATTTCTCTGTCTGCTTTTCTTTCTTCTCTTAGGTCCTAAACATTAGTCTATCAAGTCAAGTATTTACACAAGAGTGCACCCACCCAAATTGCTTCGTTCAAATGCCTTCAACAACCCCGGCTCTCTATCTCCGTCTGTATTGATTGGTTTATGCTTCTCCCCTTCCTTCCTAGCTTCGACTCTACCAAGTTTTACTCTCGCCTCGTAACGGATCTAAGTCAAGGCCGCCATGCGCGATTTTTTATCCATTACACACCAATGGCCTTGGCTTGACGTTCAAGTTTCATTAAATATTTTCCGCTTTTTCTGTGGGGTCGCTACTCTCCTTTAAACTAGATTTCTCATGTTCATTTGGTTTAGCAATAAAAAATGTATCTCTTTCTCTCTGTCTATAAATATTCCTTCACTTTTGCGTAGGTTTTTTTTTTGTTTTTTGACTACCATTATTAAAAATATCCGCTTTGAATTCTGCTTTTACATAAATTTTCACCTTCAAACTACGTTATACTCTATCTATCGATTTCAGCTTCTCCTTGAAGTAGACTAGGAAATACACAATATAGTTAGTTGCTTTTTTAAAAATGAAAAAGTTCAATAATCACAATTTGCTCTTGTTTAATTCAAGTTAATTTTTTTTTTCTTATCAACATCATCTCTTCTGATGTTAAAAAGTCAGGTATCTGATTTATTTTAGTCAATTGCCGCATTTGCTGACTCTACCCTTAATTTTTCTTTTTTCAATTATCCAACCTTATCCAACGATCTATAATCGCCGAAATCTATGCAACTTGTATGCTTTGCTACGCAAGTTTTGATTGGACACAAGCTTGCACGCAAGCCTCGCATCGTTCTGCGCAAGCTCGAAATATTCCAAACATAACGAACAACGGGCAAAATCAAAACCAAGCGATGGTCAAAAATTCATGAAATACTTACATACCTAAATTTCGATAATAAACAAATCAACTTTAAATTCATTGAATCCAATTCCGTTTCGAACAGAATAATAATAATAATAATAACGAACCAAACAAATCGTCTCTCACTCGAATCGCCTGAAATGGCTCACATTTTGATTATGTTACTGCTGCTGCTGCTGCTGCTATATCTTTAGTTCACTTTGGATCGCTGGTACCCGGTGGCGGTGCCTCGGGTGCTGCTACCCCGTGATACTGCAAGCTTTGGAGGTACTCCGCCCTGCGTTGGTGGACCTGCCTCTCTTTTTCGGCTCGTTCTCTCTGTAGTCTGGGGATGGGAAAAAGAACATCATTAAGGTACAGGTCTGTAACGTCTTGCAAGTCGCTGGAAGGGAACGGAAAACTGAAATGAGGTTTAAGATGTATTCTTACCAAGTTTGTCATTTGTTCATCCCATGTACTTTTTTTTTCATTGAAAGCGTTAAGAAACGGAATGAACATTTATTAGTTAGATTTAGATGAAGGGCAACAAAATGGAAAAATATCACCTATGATAATTATATTATACAGAATGGAGTAAAAATTTGGAACTCTGAATGTTTGCTACCAGAGAGAACTACACAGAAAAAAAAAGTTGTAGAATATTACATCCAAACTGCTGCAACCAGGTCAATCCATCGGTTGTGTAATATAACGTTGCACGATGTACAGCGATTTCGCGAACAAAATTACATCCATTGATGTAATATTGTATCTGCTTTTTGCTATTACATCATTATTTCATACATCAGCTTGAACTACATTGATCGATATGTTTTTTTTTTTGCTGTGTACTATGTGTCATGAATAGCGAACCATTAAAAAAATCCCCATCAACCTTTATGACAGGTGTGATGATTATACATCAGCCAAAGGTGCATAATCTTATAACGAATCGAATAGTGTACAAAACTTGAGGACTTAGACAATAACGGCACAACCTGTCCCCCAGGCTCTCAGAGGCCAATCGTGGCTCGGATGGTAAAAAAACTCATGTTATGGCTTCGGTCCTTATTGTCAGACAATTGGGTTCTTTAATTTATTTTTTTAATTGTATCGGTTTTTCTAAAAAAAAAGCTTCGTTTTCTGAGCACAGCGATATTTTTTATTTTCGAAAACACACACTCGAATTTTAAATCAATATTTAAAGCAAAACAATAATTTCACTGTTTGACACTAAACTCGAGGGGGGCGGCACATCAAAATCTCAAGTTTAGATGCTCAACAAATCTCACACTAGCGAATCAATCTTCGAAAAATCATCTTTCACTTGTCGCATCTACTTGCATCGCTCATCATATTTTTGCAGGAAATCTTCAGAATCGTCATCAATCTTCTTTCTATCTACTCAGCTTGCGCGCAGCTAGTCACAGCAAAATACAATCTTTTTTGCATCGTAGATAGAGTCGTCCCCCTTGACTAAACTAACAAATTGACCATGCAAAGTGCCACCAAGGGGCCCTAAGGTGGTAATTTTTGCAAATGTAATCGTACTTATTTAAAATAGCTCCAGTGATGAAATTTTTGATTTGGGTTCTACTTTTAATGCAGATTACGAATATGCATTTACCTCAATACCCTTAAAGAACCCAATTGATGCTGTATCACTTCAAGCTGAACATTGCATTAGGTCCTAAGTAACATTGATCGATTCTCTTCGTCGACTTTCTCTTTCGTTAATAACTTGAGCACAGAACCGTTTCTTAATGTGTTTGTCCTATTAGATGCTAGATAAAAGCTTCTTTTATCGATCTGTGTGCTGTAAATACCTGGGAATGTCTTCACATGGCTGTGGTGATGCAAAGAGAAAGTCGACGAAGAGAATCTGTCAAAGTTACTTAGAACCTTATGCAATGTTCAGCTTGACTTGTTCTTAGAGATGGTCCATTTTGTAAATTGTTCAGAAAACAGTAATTTTTGTTAAATATCGCAATTGTTGCGAAAATTTTTAAAATAATTGCTGGATCTGATTAATATGATCTAGACAAACCTAAAAAAAATCGCCTCGATGTTTACAAAAGTTTTTATGTTTTCGGTAATTATGTTTGTGTAGAGTACACCTACAAGAATAACACTTTCGGATTTAACTTTAATTAATGCACAATTGATTTTGCGGTCGATAGAAACAGATTTATTTAAACAGTCCGTTCGTGTTTACGCACCATAAACGACTGACCCGTGCTCGCAGAATCTAACCTTTGAACTCGTTTTTTCCGGTTCTCTCTTTTCTGCAAGGTCCTCCGGCAAGAGGCACAACAATTTTAATTATACCTACTCTACATCTCTCACTTATCATATCGTGCAGGCATTTTTGTAGTTCGCTTAGGACGTTTGGCGGCGTGAGATCCTTCACGAATCGAGCTCCAAGCTGAATCATCTGCGATAGTCTGTCGTGAATCGGAATCGGCCGTGTTTGTAATATTCTGCAACATTGGTGATTTTCCTGTCACAGTATGCGGTGCGGTATTGTAGGAGTTCACGTACCCGTTGACTGCTTCTCGCCAGTCCTTTTTTGTTGTTCGAGCAATTCACAAAGTCCACAGTTTCTGCCCTGGTGCTGCTTTTCAATCAAGCCGTTTATTTGAGGCCAGTACGGGATACTGCGCACAAGTCAGATATTATTGCTAATACAGTAGTACGAAAATTCTTACTGGCAAAAGGAGGTCCGTTATCAGTGCGAATTGTCTCTGCTTATGTGTGTTCTTTAAAAACGCGTTCTAGAGCCTCGATAGTTTTACAAGCAGTTGTAGTCCTCATTTGAATAACGGTCAAATATCTACTGTACTAATTAACTACTACTAAGAAATCCTGCCATGCCCGATCCGGCATTTCTTTTCCGATGCATTAGTTCTGGAGGTCCCTGCATGCTTACTGAAGCACAACATGCAAATCCCTGGGTTTCCGTTTCATTGCAACTACTCCCGGATGACCTCGATTCGCGATATCCAGAGCTCTCTGTCGTAACTTTGACGGGAGAATTATTCAGCCGTCCATCAATACAACTTTATTTATCACACCCAAATCCTTTGAGAAAGCTTGATACTCTTGATAAGCGAACAAGTTCGATGGCCACACTTGCGTCCCAATTGATTTGACAACTACCTTAAGCACTTCGTCGAGATCCGTTGCCTTTTTGATTTCATCCAGCGCCGGCCCTTCGCTGATCATACAAACATAGTGTTCTGATGTTTCGTCAAATGGTGCATCTGACTGTGGATATAGACTCGAGAAGATATCAGAAATATTGTCGGATCCAGGAACATGTTCCACCTAAAAATCAAAGGGCTGTGACCACAATGCCCATGCCTCGGCTCGCGTACAAACACGTTTACCTTCCTGAGGCTTTCCGCCAAAAATATATTCGATCGTCTTATGATCGGTAAACACAGTGATGTGTACTCCGAACAAATCCATATAAAATGTTTGCACCGCCCATATGACAGATAAGGCTTCAGGCAATGGCTACGGGTAAACTCTCTCCGTCTTCGTAACGCCTTTTGAGGCAAAACAGATTATCCTTGGTTTGTTCAAACTGTTTTTTTTTCTGGGTAAAAAAACAGCGCCAAGACCCACCGGGGATGCACGTATAACTTTCCCTCTCATAAACTGTCGAAGGACTTCGGTTCTAGATGATTGATGTAGCATAAACTGCCATACGAAATTAATCAACCCAAAAAAAAAACTGCACACTTCCTCCATCGTTTCTAGCATTTTGAAGTTCCGAATAGCCGTAACTTTGTCGTCTGCTGGGCAAATTCCATTCACACTAATTTTGAAACCTAGTATCTCAAGCTCTTTCGCTCCAAATAAACACTTTTCTATATTCAGCAGAGCATGGTTTGCTTCAAAACATCCATCATGCGCCTTCGAATCATACCGGATGCACCAATTTGTAGAGTTCATCCACAAGAATAACATTTTCGGACTTAACTTTAATTAATTCACAATAGGGTTCTTTAATTTTTAAGAATATATTGGTTTTCTGAGCACAGCGATATTTTTTTTCGAACCCACACACTTTCATCTCGATTTTTAAATCAAGATTTGAAGCAACATAATAAATTCACTATATGACACTAAACTGACAAACTGACAGCTCGCTCCCATACAAAGTAACACCGGGGGCGCTAATAAGGTGATTTTTGCAAATGTAATCGTAAAATTGCTGAAATTTTGGGTTTGGGTTCCAATTTTAATGCAGATTACGAATATGCATTCACCTCAATACCCTTAAAGAACCCAATTGATTTCGCGGTCAATAGAAATAGATTTAGGTATTTCAAAAGTCCGTTCGTGTTAACGCACCATAAACGGCTGTCCCGTGCTCGCAGAATCTAACCATTAAACTCGCTTTATCTGGTTCTATATTTTCCAGGCCAGTGACAAGGCCTATACCAACAGCAGCGTTTGACAGTAGGCAGCATGTCCCGGGCTCAACTAATTTATTTTGCTGTGATGGGCCCGCTGTCACGGTAGGGTTTTTGATCTAATTTCCGACCTACTAAATACAACCCGCGCTTTACCTCTCTTTTTTTTTTTAACGGGTTTGATAAAAAAAAAACTTGAATTTTTCTGTCAAAGAATGACTTCTGAATTTATTTACCTTTCCATGCGTACCGTTGGATTTGATAAAGAGTTGCAAATTGTCGAGATATGGTTTAAAATCTAACACTGCTTCTTGATTCTAAATTCGTCCCACGAGTTTCAATTCCACCCAAACGCATTGAAACGGCATTAGATTTTCTTCGTCCTACGGATAAACGTAGAAAAAGGGGATTCGCTAGGAGCGCTTCTTTTGTTTTGAGAACAATGAGCGTAAATATTCAAACAATGCGCTCTAATAGCATTTAGGTTGTAGCTAATGAACTAACGCATCGCAATATACCTATTATTGATTTGTGCACGGTGATATCATTGATATTATTGATCTTTTCTGATCGATAGAACGGAAATGGGCGATTACGACGAAGTAGCGCTCTACCCTATAACATGTTGCCTACGCGCCTGCCAGTGGGCTGATATTTTCTGCAAGGTCCCCGCGACAGTGTTAATTAAAACTACTCTACAGTATGGTGGACGTCCCTTATGAGTAAAGAAACAGTGAAATTTTGTCACTGTTTCTCCGTGCATGCTTTAAAATAAAATTTGATTCAAGTGTTGAGTGTTTTTGAGTTTCATTTAGGATGAAAAACATGATAATCAAATGGAAGTGGCCCATAATTGTGGGTGATAGTAATATCCATTCTAGCTTCAAACGGTTTGTGCGATTTGGAACCATTGTGGAGCGAACATTTCAAATTTTGCATCAGTCTACAGTATACTGTATGAGCAATCAATTTCAAGAAACTTTCTCGAACACACTCAAACGTTAAAACATCGGGAAAGGTGAGCATAGAGCTTTGATCGTCTTTTTTCAGAATGGTCCCACTGTGCGTTGTTTGGGATCTCAATCAGGGTTCTGCATTTTTGAAACAGAGAAAAGAAAAAGAACTCCCCACCGAATCGCTTCATTTCGAACAATATCATTTTCGTGTAAATCGTGTTAGTGTTTCTTGTTATCGAATCACGATGAGCATTCCTACTGTCAAACATGACATGGCTATCGCTTGTTTCGTTCGTCAAGTTCATCAGTTCATTTCATTTCAAGCAATGAATGACTCGAAAATTTGCCCTCGTATGGTATCCGAAATATATTTAGTAATAAATTGTTATTTTGTATTAAACAAAAATGATATTAACGAGGCCATTCTGGAATCCAAGATGGCGGCCATCGGGTTACATAAAAAGTGTCAAATACCCTAAGATATGGGTATTTTCGGAACTGGGATAACACGTAGATGATGAAATCGGAAGCCACCATCATGAATTTCAAGATGGCGTCGGACAACGATGGCTTCTAGATGTCACAACGATTCCTAAAATACCCACATAGATCGGTATTTGAAAGTTTCACACTTTTTCTCAACCAAAGCTGCCATCTTAGATTTTTAAAATGGCGTCGGAAATCGGTTTCTGGCCTCTTAACGCTACTGGGAATGGGCTGTGCCTTTGAACAAGTTTGACGTGAATTTTCGCCGCTGTGCTGGGTTTGGGGGGGGGGGGGGGCAGCCTAAGGGATTCAAAGGATTTGTAGACTGGACAAGGGTTCGTGGATTTGCCAGTCCCTTGTCATGTGTTGATAGACGTACATCTTGTCGTTTATCTTCCAAAGGTCTTCAATGAAGTTGATTCACTCTGCTGCAACAAACCATCAGGCAGAACTTTACAACCAGGAAGTATCTGCAGTCATAGGTAATCTTTGCACTGATGGTGGGTTCTATTCACATCACATCTTAACGCTACTGGGATTTCGAAAAAATATATATTGATGGGTATTTGACAGTATTTCCCACTTTATCGGAAACCAGAAGTCACCATCTTGGATTTCAATATGGCGTCTGATATCGATTTTTGGTATCTACGTGTCATCCATATTCTTAAAACACCAAAATTTTAGGGTATTTGACACGTTTTCTGAAATCAGAAGCCACCGTCTTAGAATCCAAATTGGCGTCGGATATGGATTTCCTGCTTCCGTTACTACGATTCTAAAAAAATCGTATTGATGAAAAAACGTTATATTGGATTTCAAAATGGCGCCGGATACCGAATCCAAAAATACCCATATTGATGGGTATTCGACAGTATTTCCCACTTTTTCTTGAACCGGAAGCCACCATCTTGGATTTCATAGTGCCGTCGCATATCTATTTCCAATCTCTAGACGTTACCTCAATTCCAAAATTACCCATAATTATGGATATTTTACACTTTTTCTGAAATCGGAAGCAGTAATCTTGGATTTAAAATCAAGCTTGAAAATGAAGCTATGAGATATTTCAATGATAATTCTTTTTTACAAGATGCAAGAAAAGAAGGTAAAGTGTGTGTATGACACATACAACCTGTCAATTTAGCTTTTAAAGCGTGACAATAGTGATTAGCTGTAACGATGAGCAACGCGATGAGCGAGCAATCAGTGATCATAAAATAGCTAGTTGTGACCTTCTGAAAGCAAAATTGACAAATTTCATATGCCACACACAAACTTTACCACCTCTTCTTGCTTCTTACAAATAAAAATTATCATTTTATTATCCCATAGTTTCATAATTACGAAAAATAGCATTTTAGCTGTAATGAGCAATTGCAAGCCTGTTTAAAATTAACGTCGAATATCGATTTTCATTCTCTAGATGTCATCCCGATTACATAAATAACTATATTTATGGGTATTTGACAGTATTTCTCACTTTTTATAAATCGGAAGCCACCATCTTGGATTTCAAAATGGCATCAGTCATCGATTTCCAACCTCTAGGCGTCATCCAGATTCCAAAAATATCCACATTGATGGGTATTTGACAGTATTTTCCTCCTTTTCAAAATGACGTCAGATTTAGATTTACATTCTCTAGACGACATCCTTTTTTTTTAGGTAGTTCTAGTAGGCTAGTTCATCACATCAACTAGACGACATTCTGATTCCAATCATACCTATATTGATTGGTATTTGATAGTATTTCCCTGAGTACTGCGAACTAACTCAAAATGCTTGTCATCTGGGAGCCGAGTCAAACTGTCAAACGGGAGCCAAACATTCACAAGAGCTCAGAAGTCACGTAGGTAGTTACTGTTTGAGCCAAAAGTAATGGTGTTGCCACCTACTGAAAACAAATTAAGAATTTATAGTTATGAAACTGTAGAAACATCAACCTTAGTAGGCGGATAATGTAAATCATCGAGCGTAATGCTCGAAAAAGGGTTTTTATTTGATATTAATAATGTCAAAACTGGGTTGCTGAAACAAGAATGTAATCAAACTTTATAAGAGTCATGTGAGCTTTGTGGGCAGGTGCACTCCCATCACCATGTATACGTTATTTCTGGAGCAGAGGAGGAGGAACCAAGAGTTCATTTTTTTTTTCCTTTGGTTTGTTTTTTCCGTCGATCTTGTTTTCCGTGCTGAGCACCAATGCTACCGACGTGCCAGGAAGGCAGCTCTCACACCTGGACCCTACCTATCGACCCATAAACTCATGAACCGGGGACCAACGGCTTTACTTCCCATCCGAAGATCAGAGATGTTATGCCTCAGAACATCCCGGCGGCGCCGACTGGGATTGAACCCAGGCCTGCTGGGGTGAGAGGTAATCACGCTTAACACTACACCACCGGCGCCGTTGTCCAAGAGTTCATTTGACAGCATGTATATACAATTTTGTGAGCTGTTTCAGCAAAACAATTTGAAACTTCGGAAAATTTTCAAGATGTTTTCTAGCTCACTTGAAACATAAAATCGGCTGAGTTCGCAGTACTCAGGTATTTCTAACTTTTCTTAAGCCGGAAGCCGCCATTTTGGGTTTCAAAATGGAGTCGGTTGTCGATTTCCGGCCTCTATACGTGATCCCAATTAAAATGAACCGAGTGAACGATCAACGCGAAAGAAAGTTCATTTCAATATGAACATTACATAAGGTCCTAAGTAACATTGATGGATTCTCTTCGTCAACTTTCTATTTCGTTAATAACTTGATCACATTACCCCGTTTCTTGTTGTGTTTGTCGTATAAGATGCTATAAAAAAATCTTTTATAGATCTGTGTGCTGAAAATACCTGGGAATGCCTGAACCAGTGCTGCAAAATCTCGACAGTACACGGTGATATTGACAATTCTGCTTTGGTCACTCATTTTAGCTAACAGTGATATTCAAGGCAAACCATGTCAATTGTCAATGACAATGGTGTCAGTGACGAACATGTGCAGATTTGTTTATTAGCTAAATTTGTAGCAAAATTAAATGACTTGAGCAAAACAATTACATGGATCCATTTTAGTGAACAAGTATCTACGTCCTGAGCTACTTGGATAACAATAATGTGACACAGAATGTACTAAATTACACTTTTTGTTACCAGGTGAATCTTTGTCATTGACGAAAAAAAGAGTGAGTTTTTGACGAAGGTTTTTTTGAGGATCAAGTCTGTCAGTAACTATGTGACGAACAATTTTGTCAATATCGCGCGAAAGTCTGTCAATGACAATGACAAATCTCAGCACTGGCCTGAACATGGCCGTGGGGATACAAAGAGAAAGTCGATGAAGAGAATCTGTCAATGTTATTTAGGACCTAATGCTATGTTCAGCTTGATTTAAAAATGAAAGACGAAATGAACACGAATCATATCAAAACAAACATATTTAATTTAGCTCGGCAAACTCTCCAACAGCCGATTACATCGGTATTTACCTTTGCTGATATCTCTGTAGAATATATGTTTGTTAGCTGTAGGAGTCTCGGCAATTGTTTTAATGTATCTCAGCAAAATAAATTGCAGAACTGAACTGCTCGGCTGTTGGAATCTCGGTGAAAACATTTAAGTGTGAACAGCATGAACACTGATCGAGAACGACTTTCAATTGAAAGTGATGGTTGACAGCTTCGTAGTCGCTTGACGATTTTCGATTGAAAGTGACTGCTGGACCCTGACCTCAATACATATCAAAAGCACAGAGGGGAACAGGGGGTTGTGATCCACTATACAAGCTTGATCCACCCTAATGCGCATCTTAGGCCACACGGTCGCTGAGGCTAACTCAAAATTGATAAGAATTCCACTCATTTTGATAAAACTGGGATTGTTCTTGCACTGAGTAGACGGTTCTCACACATTACACAAATGGCACTTGAAAATCTCTGAAACTAAGTAGATAAACTTGAGTATCGTTTACATTAATAGCCCAAATTAACCAAAATGAGTGAAATTTTACCTAACTTTTAGGAAGCCACAGCGACCGTGCATGCGATGCTAATAGCGAATTCGTTTATTATCGGGGTTGGAACCAGTTCCAACCCGTGCGAACCCGAACTTTTTGTCAGTGCGAACCTCGACCCGTGCCAGGTTTTAAAAACAAACGATCAAACTGACGTTTGCTAGAAAACAAGCAGACCCAATCTTGATACCCGATCCAGGTTGGAACTGAATAATAAACGAATTCGCTATAACATACAATGTTTCATCCATCACTTGTGTGCAAGTTTAACTCGTACAGTATGAAATATTCCACACGCGCGCGTGAACCACGTGGTGATTTCAAATTGATTGGAAGTCGTTGAACATTAAATGGTAACATTTTGGTAAATCACAATATGTACTCACTTATTTTTCGATTGTCTCATAAATTGCTGAATTTTCCTGGCCGCTTGATTCTGAGTTCGTTGCGAGTAAGTTCGTCTGAAAAAGCAAGCAAATGTCGTCAACTGAATCGCCCTGCTCTGCCCGAATCAATGGCAGCCAACTCACTTCAGAGGACCGGACGGGCTCGGTTCCTTGGACGAACCCTGATGATTGTTCTGCTGTTGCTGGTGCTGCTGTGGCGACTGCTGCTGCTTTTGTTCATTCTTGAAATTCTTATAGTAATTCTGTATACACTGTGACGAGGAGGCTGCCTCCTCGGCGCTGTCCCCTCCCATGTGACCGGTTGGATGGTTGGATTGAGATTTCTTGAATCGCTTGTTCTCGCAGTACGACCGGTAGCCATTCTGGATGATGACCGCCGCCTGGGTCATCTGCCGGTAGTAGGCGTACTGTTTGTACCGACGGTAGTAGTTCTGAATCACGACGGCCGCCGACCGCTCCTTGTCCTGTTCCTCCATGCGGCTTTTGCGGCCCTTGTACGAGCGGTATGCCTTCTGGATGCACTTGGCCGCTTCGTATAGTTCACGTTGTTCGCGATCTGAAATTATTAGGGTTTAATATAGGAATTTATCCCGTCGAATGCGGGCTCTCACCAGTTAGTTTGAGATTGGAGAAATCCTTTTCGAATGGATTCGAGTTGGTTGTCTGCAGGAATTCGGTGAAATCCTGTGTAGTGGGCGGTGGGCTCGGAGAGCCTACCGGGGGATCCTGTGGAATGGAGTAGCTGGCAGGTGACTGCAGAGGCCCGGACGATGCAGGACTTAGGCTGGAGCAGGGTGTTCCAACGTCATGGTACCTGTAGTTGGTCGTTTAGTGTTAGGAATAATTGTTTTACGGTTGATTTTTTTTAGTGTTGACAAACCTATAGTTGTGATCGCTGAATTCAAAATTGAATTCTTCGAACTGAGACGGAGGCAGAGAATCGAGCAGCGGTTCCATAAAGGAATCCGTCAGGATGCTCATCCCGGATGTGTCTTCGCTTAGGGTTTCCGGCATTGGACTGCCCAGGGACATGATTTCCTCCGATTCGTTCTGCGGGGTTGGAAAATAAGTTGTGATCGGTTTTTAAGAATATCAAATGGGGTTAGAAACTACCTTTATTCGTTCCGGCATCGCTGCGATAATCTGTTCTGCAAGCGTTAGCACCTTGGCATCGGATTCCCCTACAAAGGAATAGAGAGAATTGGAATTGTTAAAAATTACTGTTCATTACTATGTTGAACCTAAAACACCAATAACAGTTAGAATATGGAGAATGATACTGAAATAGTGACTTACATTTATCTGTCCGGTAAAATTCCAACTATCAACTACTAGCTAGCGGAAGCAGAATTGAAAAGCACTGACATGCAAGCAAGCGTACTTACCGTTTGTTGGCGTATTACATATATTTTACTCTCTCTATAAAGAAGTACACTACGGAAAGCTCTGAAGCGACTCATTAAAAGGTAGTTTTTTTTTCTTGTTTTAGTAGTTTCTACCAAATATATCCCGAATGAAAAATTACGAATTTGATATTTTTCATCTGCTTCCTTTTGACTATATAGATTCTGTTGTTCAAACCTATTTACACTGGGACACCGATATTTACAGTACTACAACAATAAACTAAACAATGAAAAGTAAAAGAAAAACACATAAGATACAAACAAAATGAAACAACTTAGAGACACCAACACAGAAGAAACTAACACTAACACATAGAGACGCTAGTGGATATGGGACAGGATTCCAAAGAGACAGAAGGTACATTTAGAAAGAAGAAACTCAAAAAAGAAAACAAAACAGAAGAAAACAAAATCAAACACAAAACTTAATCACGGTTTTCACTGGAAACTAACCTACTCCGGTCCCACCACTACCCCCGCCGACGGAGGCCACCTCGCCGCCGCCATCGTCCTGGTGATTGATATGATGGAGCAGCTGCGACCCGTGATGCAGCAGATGGTGCATCCCGTGGCCCTGCCCATGCCCGAAGGACGAAACGGATCCGATCAGGGCTTCCGCCACTGCCGCCGCAGCCGACGACGAAGCATTCGATGATGAGTGTCGTTCATCCTCCTGCAGCGAGTCGGTGTCCTCGCACATGGGGCTGCCGTCCGCCGCCGAGACTTCACCTTTATGTGGTGGTTTAATTTTAATGTTGTTGTAATGTAACGTATTCGCAAATATGCAATAATTTTGTATCGAAAAAAGGCAAAAAAGCTTCTACTAAGTATTGTGGAAAAATTGTAAAAACGAAAAATTCATCATGTTCAAGTGTCAAAGAGTAAACTCTGTTTGTTTGGCTACTTGGCTTTCAAAGTGGTGCTCAAATAAGCATGTTCTGTATCAAGCTAGTTTTTTTTGATCAAGGCAGTCATAATATAGAATGTGATTCACCTTTTTCTTTTTCGGAATAAGAAGTACTTACACAGGGAAAAGTCCATTTTGCGCAGCGGTGAAAGTAGAGATGTGTTACTCAGATTGCTGGATCCCTGCGAGGAGGACTCCGTGGTACGATCGTTCAACGAAAGCGAAAAATTGTCCGAGTCTGAGCTGTTGGAAGCTCCACCTCCTCCGGAGGAAGAAGACATCTTCCCGTTGGAGTTACCTCCTCCGTTGTTGGACGACCCTCCGAAAGGAGATAAATGGCCACCGGCAGAGCCGGACGCCAGCGGGAGGGACATGCTACGATCGGTTCTGGAAATCGCAGAATCGGATGAGATGTTGAAACGAGGAATTCTTTGAGCCCATCTTACCTGTTCAACCGTTGAACATCTCGTAGAGACTTGCCACTTTTGCTCAGTGAAGATCTAGTCTCCATGTTGATTCCACTGTCGATCGATGATCGCTTGGACAGTCGAGCACCGGGTGGACTTTGACCACTGTGAATGAAAACGTGTTCGTAAATCAGTTCGGAAACTTTAAGACCTCCGAAACCTACCTGGAAAACACCGCTCCTGGCCGCAGGAACACCCCATCGTGACTACGGTTACTATCCGAGTTCGGAGATAGGGCATTCGATAGCATCGGATTGGAGTTGTTGTTCTCCAGTGCGTAGTGCAGCGTTGCCGTTGATGAAGACCCGACCTGTCCGGATCCCTTCATATCGCTGTACGGCGACATGGCCGCCGGTGAAAGTGACGGATTGTACGAAGACGAGAGAGCAAAGTTGTCGTTACTGCAGCTGTCACTGTTGCTACTGTTCAGGGCGTCATTGTAGTTGAACAGATCGTTGATGAAGTTATGCTCCGGACTGACGTCCGGATGATTGTTACCGTCGTTATCGTTATTGCTATGCTCGTTAGCCGTTTCAGCTGTAGCAGATCTGTTACTATCTCTGCGACTACCGCTACTGTTAGCTAGAGTTGTGGAAGGATTCGTTAAGGAAGCAGAAGAAGGAACAGACGAAGAATCAGCTGAAGCGCTGGAAGCCAAAGTAGATAAAGTAGATGTGGAAGAAGTGGAACAGGATGACGTGATGGATGCCAGCGTGGGCATCGAAGAGCTGGTTGTTGTTTGTGATTTCTTTTTCTGGAGTCGTTGGAGTTCGTGTTTCTCCAGTTCTGCCACTAGGCCGGTGAAACCTCGATTCTTGGCCACCTCCAATGGAGTTTGCTGAACGCTGTTCTTGACGTTCAGTGCGTTCTGATTCCATTTGTACAGGACGATCGCCGTTTCGATGTGACCGCGGGAGCAAGCCCACATCTGGAAGAACACAAATTTCAGTCTTGCACAAGATCTGGACAACTAGCTCCCCGACTTACCAAAGGTGTGAATCCCTCCTGATCTTGACTGAGCGCATCTATTTCGGCCTCGAGAATGACGTTGGAATTTTCCGTTTTCCAGGTCAGCATGGTGCGGACCAGCTTGGCGTAGCCCAAAGCCGATGCCAGATGAAGCAGAGTCATTCCCCGGTGCTTTCCAAGCCAGGATCCCGGTGTTACCGATCGCCACATCTTGGCCGTCAACGACTGACAGTAACTCACCAGACGGTCTTCGAAGTTGGTTTGCTTGAAGAGCATCGAATCTTCGGGCTGAAAGGAATGAGATTCAGCATAATTCCTGATTAAATCATCCAAATTAGGCCACTTCTTAAGAACACAGTTCACGGAAGCTACCCAAGCATAACATGTTCTATTACAGTTGTATGACTGGTGTTGATTGTATAGTAGTTTACTCAACATAATTGTGTTACTTTGGTATTGCTCATATTACCTGTATCGCCACTCCGCATTTTCATGGATAATTGATGATCTGAGTAATTTTCGTTGAAACCAGGCCGCTATTGACACATGGTCTTTATATATTTAAATACATTCGCTTGTTTGATAGAAATTGATCAAAACAAAAATAGATTTCCACTTTCTTTAGCTCAAATTAATGGACCCCTCGCTCGCCAAAGGGCCTTACAGTTTTCAAAAAAGGTGAATTTCTAGCAATTCTTGACATATTTATCAAGTTAAATCTTTGAAGTTGAATATGGAACCCTCCAGAAAAAAACACATTATTATAAAGACGAAAGATATGGCTTTCATTCGGAATGGATATTTTTTTGGCGGCCATCTTGAATTTGGCCGCCATATTGGATTGTATCCGAGAAACGTATTTTTCACTATGTTCGCAATCAACGATTTTGATTCTGGTAACCATCTGAAAGCTAACGTTGCAGATTTTATCGCGGTTTTATAGCATTTTACAAGTCTAAATCATGGTCTACAGAACCCTCATAAAACCAAAACTGTTACTTGGGCTGAGAAAAAATGCTATCAGATACACTCAACAGATTAGGTGAGCAATTACATTAACACTATGAAACAACCATTTTTCTATTTTGAGGTTTACAATTTTCCACGCATCAATGTCAAAGCAGGTTATTTCATATTGTTAATCTCATTCCTCACCTAATCTGTTGAAGACATCTGATAGCATTTTTTCTCAGTTTTCAGATGGTGACCTCAGAATCAAAATCGGTGGTTGTAAACATAAGGAAAAATATATTTTTTTCTGATAAAATCCAATTCTAAGATGGCCTTCTAACAAATTTTCATTCTAAATGAAATCTTTATTCTTCCTTTTCATAATAACGTGTTGATTGCATTAGGGTTTCATATGAAATTTCAAAGATTTAACATGATAAATATGTCAGCTAGAAATTAAACTTTTTTGAAAACTGTAAGGCCCCGGGGTCCATTAATTTGAGCTAAGGATAGTGGGAATCTCATGTTTTCATCAGATTCGACCAATCCACCGGATTTATTTAAATATTTAAAGACCATGTGTCAATGGCGGCCTGGTTTCAATGAGAATTACTCATCTACTCAATGCATGAAGCTGAAAATATCACTCAGTGCAGAAAAGCAAGCATCGAATCCAAATTAGTGATGCACCGAAAAGTACTAGGGGAATTTACGTATTCTCGGCAACCTAAGCAGCGACCATCTTTCTATAGCATTTTTCTTTAAGGAACGCACACATATGCAGTATTGGTTTGTTTACAATCTTTTGCTGCCAGCTGCTCAAACAATTTCAGTCGAAATAATTGTCAAAAACTGTTTTGAAACGCTTTTACAAAGCTCCAATCTTCTCTAGTGAGAGCGAGTATTGTCGGCAACCAGTTTTTCTTCGGCAACCGTTCCATTTGAACTGCATGTAAATCTGCTGTTCTATTATCGGCAACTCGAAATCAGCTACAATTTATAGTGCGTGTGTTTCATTTCAAGAAAACCCTGCTAGATTGCTTTTTCTCAGTGGTAAAAGCAAGGTTGCAAAGACTCATTTCAGCTAAAACAATGTTTTTCTAAATTATGAAATAATTAGATGCCATGATCAAATTTTGAATTGGTAGGATACAAGAAGAGGTTGCAAAGAATGTGTTTGACATATTAAACCTGTTTATTTCACTTCATGAGAGTCACAATCAGCGATTTTTCACAAACTCACTCACTCACTCACTCACTCACTCAGCGATAAGCAAATCGCTGATTGTGACTCATAGAAAGCAAAATTTACAGGTTTTATGTTTCCAACGCATACTTTGTAACCTCTTCTTGTAAGTTACAAGTAAAACATGCCATCATACCATCTTTTGGTTTTATTATTCCGAAAAACATTATTTTAGCTGAAATGAGTCTTTGCAACCTTGGGTAAAAGTATAGTCAAATTGAAGCTGAAAGCATAAAGAATCGTTTGCATGCATTCAGCGAAGTGTTTTCGTAAGAAAATCCAGTGAAAATAGTGTTTCAATTTGGGTTGCCGAAAATAGTCTGTCATGCCGAAGCCGTCATTTCCCCTATCGGCGTTCACACCAAAAATTTATTTGACATTCGGCCAATCCCCACCTAACAAGTGGCCAACAAGGTGTTTGCGCGAAATGTTGAGACTGTAACCGGCCGAATGTTCGCTGCAACACTAGTTCAAATGTTGCATGGCTTCCAGGGACGTAAAGTGGTGCTCCGCTAAACCATGTTCCTAACAAACTCACGTATGCAGAGACAAACTTACCAGCTCTCCCGGTTCGACCTTAATCTGCAGCTTCTCGTCGATGGACTCCAGCCGCGTCAGCAGGTTGAACTTGTACAACATGTCGTTTCCGTTGCCTTCGCACTTCGTTTCGAACTTGGGCGGAGATTTATACTCGAAGTTGACCGCATTCGATATCACATAGCCATCGCTGGCGACCTGCAACGTTACGACTCCCACCTCATGCGCTGCAAAGATAAACGAAGCAAGCAGGTCAGAACCCTCTCACCACTCCCATCAGATCCCACACCACCAGCCCCCGTACTTACCGGGACAGTAGCACCTCAGCACTCCACTCTGGACCAGTGTCGTCGGCACCGGAAACGAATCGAATAATACTGTATAGGACGAGGCGGCACTCCACGGCCCCGTAACTAGCACCTTAATTCCACCCTCCGGGTAGGCCCACTCCGGACTGAAGTCGGTAATCGACGACACGTTTGCATGGTGATGATGCGACGACGTCAGCTCGTTCCCTACCACGATCCCACTATCGGCCGACAGTTTGAAGTGACTCAAATGACTAGCCCCATCGTTGATCTCCCCTCCTGCGTCCGTTCCCGTTTCACTACCGTTCAAAAATGCACTCTTCGCGTCTAGTTCTAGTTCCGGAAACTCAACCAACATATCGAACGCATCCAAATTGACAAACACATCGTCGTCCACCGGATCGTGACTCTCACCACAATTCTCGATGAAATCCATCGGATTGATCTCCCCATTCATTGCATCATCCGTCTGAGCTCCCGACGGTCCTGCATTGCCAACCGCTCCTCCCCCATGGACATGTCCCAGTGGCATATTGGCGCTCAGCGTCTTCTGGATATCCTCCTGCGACAAGTCCAGCGTTTCGTTGAAGAACGGCAAGTTGTCATGGTGACGATTTCCACCCGGACTGTGCCTCACCGAATAACCTCCGAACATACTTTCGTACTGCTTCGTCGAGCCGCCCCCGATGCCCGATTGGTGATGGCCCTGATGACCACCCATCAGCGATGGCGACGAAGACGAATCCATGATTTCCTGCTTCGGAATGAGACCACTGCTGTGCTGCGATCCATCGGACGGTGAGTTTTCCATTTTGATACTGCTGTTGGCACTGGTGGCGTTGCTGCCGCCACCACCGCTACTGCTACTGCTGCTTCCGGTGCCATTTTTGGAACCATCGGCCAGGGATTTGTGTTGCTGAAGATGGTGTTGTTGTTGTTGTTGTTGTTGCTGCTGCTGTTGCTGGGACGGGTGGCAGACGAAAGATTGCTGTTGGCCATTTAGGATCAGGAGGCTGCCCGGGTTGCCTTGGAGCTGAAAGGAAATGAAGGGGAATTTGAGTATGTCAAGCGACAAATTTGACTAACGGTTATCACAGTTCAAATTTTACAAGGGTCTTTCTTTATGAATTTTAAACTCTGTGTAAAACTAGTGATCATGATTTTAATGATACACATTGATAATGATATTTTGGCTATCAGTGTTGGGAAAATATAAAGAAAAGTAAGAGGTTGTATTCAAGACACGACCGAGATTTGACGTAGGATTACGTACTCGGTATCAATAATCGTAGAAAAATTTCCAATCGATTGGCTTGTTTAGAATTTAAATCCATCCGCTATTGACAGAATTATAAGTGGTCAAAACCTAACCCCTTTTCGTAACGCGGTCGATTTTGGTTTTTTGAAATTACACCCCCAATATGTTGCCGAAAGACGTAATCCTACGTCAAAGTCAAATCTCACGCATGCCTAAGATTCTTGATTTTCGTAGGCAAAAATTAACAAGGAAGCCATTGCGGATGATATTACAAAGCTACGAATATCAAGCTAAGAAAACTCACCAGCTACAATTCTAAACAAACTGTGATGAGTTTGAGTTTCATGATTAATGCTTTACATGTGAACGCGGATGTATTGTCAAACACATTCTTTGAACCCCTTTTTGAATTTTACCAATACAAAATATGATCATAGCGTCTAAATATTTCATAATTCAGAAAAACATTGTTTAAGCTGAAATGAGTTTTTGCAACCTTGATGAGAATATTCTGATAAAATCTTGTTCAATATTAAAAGTACCGTATGTATACCGATAAGGATAACACAACTGTGTATTGCGTCATCATAAAATGCTACTTTCGATGAAGGATAAAAAATCTGCATCTCGAGATTTGACAGCAAATAGATCATCAGCAAGTGGCTTCCCGAAAGTCAAACTACCGGAGATCAGGTTTCCGACGTTCAGCGGAAACATTCAAGAATGGGTCCCCTTCCGTGATAGTTTTCGTAGCCTCATTGACTCCAATACCCAGCTGATAGAGATAGATAAGTTCAACTATCTGCGTTCATCTCTATCTGAAGAAGCGCTGCAGGAGATCCATTCAGTAGAGCTCTCCGCTGCAAACTACACTGTAGCGTGGGAATCATTGTAAACCCACTACGAGAATAAGAAACTAATCGTGAAAGCACACATCGACGCACTTTTTGCAGTGGAAGGACTCAGAAAGGAGAGCTACGACGGGCTCTACCATCTCATAAGCGAGTACGAGAAAAACCTTCAAATGCTGGAAAAGATAGGTAAGAAGACATCAGAGTGGAGTACTATCTTGGCGCACATGGTATGCAGTCGCCAGGATTCTGCTGCCTTGAGCAACTGGGAGACTCACCATAATTGCAAGGATGTTCCTACGTACAAGATTATGATCAATTTTCTTCGCAATCATTGTACCTACTTCAACCGCGAAGATCAATCAGCGAATCGTTCATCGAAGCCAGCAATCTGCCATACCGTCGGCACATCCGCTAAAGGATGCCCTTTCTGTAACGAGACGTAGCATTCTGCATTTCATTGTGCGGCATTCTTGTGAATGAAGGTTGCTGAGAGTAATGAAGCGGTTAAGAAAAGGAAATTGTGCCGGAATTGCCTTAACCCTGGGCATTACGCCAGGTCATGCGAGCGAGGAGTATGCCCACAGACACAAACCACCAACACTGCTAGCTCTACCAACTCGCACACACAATCAGTCACTGAACAAGCCATCACTAACCAAGACCTCGTTACACTTCCTATCACTCCCAAAAAAACCAACGGCGCTTGTCAAAATCCAAGATCGATTTGGGAATTCGATGCTAGCACGGGCTTTGCTCGACTCGTGTTCTCAGCACTGTTTAATGACCAAAAGCTTCTCGAACAAACTGAAGTTCCGAGAACGCTTCTCACATCTGACGGTCCAAGGAATTGGACCATCCCATTCAATATCTACCACAGCAGTTACTGCTCTAGTAGGTCCCAGGTCCAGCCATATATCGCAGTATGCCGAAGAGATGAAGTTTCATATTCTGCCAACGCTGACTGTATCGTTACCAACTGCCGCCATCGATCCATCGCAATGGAATATCCATCAGTCGATGTTCCTCGCTGACCCGCGCTTCTACGAACCTGGTTCAATCGACTTGATAATCTTGATACCTGCTTTGCAACGAGCGACAGAAAGCGACGAATGATGGACCTAATATGCAGAACACGGTGTTTGGCTGGATAGCTTCCGGACGAATTCCAGACAATGCGGAATGCAGACGAGTCTCTCTGACCTACGTTTGCTGTTCAGCTGAAAATCAGAATCAGCTTATTAAGTTCTGGAAACCAGAAACGCGCAAAGCGGCCAGCACTCACTCGTTGGAGAAATCATCTTGTGAATCGAACAACCGCAAATAGCCTTCAAAGCGAGTCACTCCCTGCTTTCCCTTTCAGCGGGTTGGAGATGACTATGGTGCATCACAAGCGATAGGAGATCAGATTCAACGACGAGGGAATGTTCTTCCGAAACCTCGCCTGGCTGCAGTTCCAGTGTTGGGCGATGGAGTTCTCTTTCGAAGAGTCTTTTGAGCACATGTGGATTTTGTACTTCCGAGCGCAAGACCTTATCCCTTCTGACGTCTTAAAAGTCTCATACAACGATAGTTTCAGCTGTCATCTTGGTCGTCGTTCAGCGGGTTTCATCCGAGGGGTGTCCAACTGAGGAATTGGTTGTAAGGGGTTGGCGCGAAACACCGTAAAAGTTCCCCGACCCGCAAGGCAGGTTAGGTAACTCTGGTCCTACTTTACTCACTCCAGCCGTGCCAACTTCGCAACTGACCTGTGGACCATCCCGTCAGCGGTTTGCACTACAGCATCACGAACTCGTCCAGCGCGCCCTATGATGATCTTGGCAACTTGTCCTCGACTCCATCCGTTACGAATCTTCTTCTCCACGATGATGACCAAGTCCCCGAGCGCGATCGGCTTCGTCTCCTCAAACCACTTTGTTCGACGTGCGATAGTCGGAAGGTATTCCCGCACCCACCGGCGCCAGAACTGGCGACCATGGTTCGGCACAGATTCCAATCGTTCCTGCAGGCAAGTTTCGGGTCCGCCAGTGTCTTTGGGGTCTGTATCACACCGTTCGAGCTCATCATGAGAAAATGGTTTGGTGTCAAAGCTTCTTGCTGCACCGTCTCCAAAGTGTTGTACGTTGTCACCACGCTTTCTACCTCCAGCAGCGTTGGCAGCGTTGCCTACGTTGCTCGCAGTATTTACAGTGGACGGTGAACAAAGAGTCGCGGCTGGATGGACCGCTTTCGCAGCAGGAGCTGAGCCAGGCCGAGTCAACGATTTCCGTTGGATCCAATACGAGCAGTATCCTGACGAAGTGGTGACGCTTTTGTAAACTAAGGGCAGGCGGACAAACCAACAGGTTCGGCTGGAGAAGATTAGCACGATTCGTAAGTTGTCACCATATTTGGACAAGTCTGGAGTCATCCATTCAGACAGCAGGATCGCAGCTGCAACGTTCGCTTCATACGACACGAAGTTTCCAGTAATTCTGCCGAAGGAGCACCCGGTTACGCATCTGCTAGTCGAATGGTATCACAGAAACTACCTTCATGCAAATGGTAATACCGCCGTAATCGAGTTGAGACATAATTTTCAAATCCCTAACTGCGGTGGTTCGTGCGCAGGGTGGCTAAGGAGTGCACGGTGTGCAAGGTGGAGATATCAGTTCCAGCGATACCCCGCATGGCTCCACTTCATGCGGCCAGGCTGCAGGCATACGTGCGTCCATTTCCATTCGTGGGAGTTGACTATTTTGGATCGATCGCCGTGAGAGTGAACCGTAGTAACGTTAAGCGGTGGGTCGCACTATTCACGTGTATGACCACTCGAGCTGTTCATCTTGATGTTGTTCATGCACTTTCAGCTGAGTCCTGTAAGATAACAATCAGGCGCTTCATCGGGCGAGAGGCGCACCCGTTGAGATTCGCAGCGATAGGGGAAAAAACTTTGTGGGATCGAGCAACGAGCTGAAGCAGGAGATGGACAAAATTGACCTCCAGCTCGCCGAGACGTTCACTAACGCAAACACAAAGTGGGTGTTCAATCCACCCTCGGGCGCCTCACATGAGTACGGTCGGTGAAAACGGCTCTCGCTGCTATGGACACCTCACGGACACCAAACGAGGAGACCATCGATGAACGTAAGCTACCGCTCGAACTAAACGCATCCATGATGAAAAACGCTCCCACTTCACGAGTTGTGCCGCGGTCTCAGCTCGGGCACGGTCGGTCGTCTCGTTGGCTGAATGCAAACTCGTCCTCTCCACGAAACCTACGGCTGTTAGGGGACAAACAGGGGCCCTTACCCCATTTCATCCGCAACATTTTTCTTCGTGGATACCCAGCGCCACTGCTCCGCCTTCGATTTAGACAGGATCTCTCCGACTCTACATGCGACGAGCTGCCGATAGTTTCGATGGTCCGAGTTTATCCAGGCTAACACCGTCTTCGAGTCGCTCCAAAGGACTACTTTCTCAATCCCCAAAGAATGCCCGTTGAGTATGGTTTTGGCAAAACGTACTCCAATCACTGCGACCATCAGTTCCAGCCGGGGGACAGAATATGCCTTGATTTTCCTCCAACCAGCGCTACTTGAATCCCTTCAGGAAACACGACCCGCAGATATCCAACGCACGCGTAGGCTTCTTCACTCGCGTCAACGTATACGTGCAACTGCAATGAAATAATGTCCTTGACCGAATGCTGAGGAAAGTAGCAGCGCTGAATGCTAATCTGATTCAGATAGCGAAACAAATCCGTCCACCGTATCCACTTCTCGCGCAGCTGCTGTGGAATCAGTTCATCCCATTCCGTCTTTGCTCTCCACAGATCCTGGATCAGTATCTTGCCATGGATGAGGAAAAAGCTTAGCAGTCCAGCCGGATCACACAGGCTCATGACAACCCTCAGTACGCGAAGACATCTTCATCCGGTTTCCA